CCCCCCCACACACAAGCCGGGGCTGTAAATCTCCAGAGCAGTCCCCCATCCACAGCAGCAACCCGCTGGGACCTCCACCCCCCAATATTACTAATTACACCCACATGACCTTATTCTTCGGCTGAGGATAAAAGGCGATGAGCGTCGGCTCGTTTGGAGATTAAACACGAGACCTTGAGCCCAGATTCTGATAGCAGAAAAGCAGGGGCAGAAAGGTAGTTTATTTAACACGGAGGTCATGAAAGAGGCGTACCAAACAGCCGTGTGCAGAGGGGGTGCTAGCAGGTCGAGACTGCAGGGCCAGGCCGGGAATCCCACCGGGGGGGGGGAGGGGGAATTAGCCGGCAGCTGGCCTGTGGCGACAGGCTTGGGCTCGTAACTAGAGGTGGCCAGAGAGATGGGCGTTTTGCCAGCTATAGAGTTTGTGGCCGCAGACGTCTCCCTCGCCCCAGGCCACAGGGGGCGCTAGTGGCCAGCCACATTATCATCATGTCTTAAAGATTCAGGTCTAAGTATCGGCTCCATCCTTTAGAGGTGACAGCAGGGGCCCTGCAAGATCACTTTTAAAATGTTCTTTACCTCCCCCCAAAATTAATGCATATTAATTAGTACACTATAACTTGTTAAAACTGTAGTGTTGCTCCTGGATGACATTGATCTGCGAGTCCCACACTAGCCACCCCTGGTCCCACCTTTCCAGCAGAACATGACCAGTGACGAGACGAGGCCGCCACGAGGCCTGCTAACAAACGGCCACACAGCTGACCGTGTCCCATAATGCACCAGGGACCCACTCAATTAACCTCCCTGCAACTTCTGCCATGCTGATAGGCCGAGCGGTTGCTGGCTTAACTGAGGGCCCCTGTTAGGGATTCTTCTCCCCGCCCCCTAAGGGTGGCGCTAATCCATTCTGCACTCCCCCCCCCCCGCCGCCCCTCCAGGCTGGGCGTCTAATTACAAAGGGCCGTGTTGATTTCAGCACTGGGAAAGAAGCTGTAATTTGTAGTTTGGCATGGAGTTTGGGGGGGGGGGAGGAGCCTCATCTGGGACACGCCCCCCACAAAGCACTCACAGGGCAACCAGGCCACTGCCATCCAAAATGATTTTTATCAGTGAATTAATGCTGGTTTAACAGGTGGAGCCGCTGAACCCCATGGCTGAATTCTCATCGTCCCAGTTTCCAGTAGCAGTTAACTGGCACAAACACTGCAGGCCAGCAGCCATAAGCACCGCAAATAAACGCTAAGAAGCAGGGGCGGCTAAACAGGGCTGTGGAGAGCTTAGTACGGCCGCCAAACCCACAGAGAAACGAGGCTTCTCTCAGTTTTCAGCACATCCATTTATAGCAGAGAGAACCTCTAATTTCAGCTGCCGCTTGGAAACGTATAAACAGCTAGAATGTTCTAGGATCCCCCCACTTACCAACGTACTGCTCCACATCCCTGACGGTGAAGTCCGCACTCGGCACCTTCAGTCCCAGCCCGTCCAGTTTGGCCACCATGATGGGGTAGTGAAAACCATGTTTCTCCAGGTACCTCTGGGTCACCTGGCTGCCCTGCAGCTGCACGAAGATCTCATCCGCGCTGCCATGGTAACAAGACAGACAGAATCAGAACCTCTGAAGAAATGAAAGACCTGCGGTCGAGCTCTGGTGTTGACTATCAATAAAAACCTTTATTTCCCTGCTGAGAATCATTACATTATCAAGAAGAACAACTTGCCAGGTCGATAAAACAGCCTGCCATAGAGAGCTGTCGCCTGTCACATGACAGAGGACCCCCGCTGTCATTGGCTGGTACCTGGGAAAGGTGCGAGCCTGCAGCTTGTGCACGAACACGGAGGTGCCGGCCTGCACCGGCCGCGTGCCGTCGTCGGGCTCCGTGTAGTCATGCCGGTGCCAGTTACTCCGCTTCTTCACTGGAAACAGAAAGAGGGAAGGAATTCAGTTCAATTTACTTTTATATAGTATCTCTTACAACAGAGTCACCCCCCCAGACCCATGACATGGGTGTGCAGTGGGTGGAATACAAATGAAGGATTGTTAATGGTTTATGGTAACCAACCTGTGATCTCATAAAACCAGCCCCTCACAAAGACCTAGTCAGCTTTACTTATTCCATTCACTGTCATTCACCATGTCACCAACAGTCTGTTAATCTACAGGGGACAATCCATCGAGCAGCCTGGGGCGCACTGGTCTCTACTTACTCAAGGAGGACCCATGGAGGACATCGCAGTTGGGGCAGTGGTAGACATCGATATCCACTGCTTGGTGTTCCTCGACTTGGACGCAGCTGCAAGAAGAGAATTATTGAATAATCCGTTTTTGTAACTCCAGAAACAATGAGCATTCAGTCAGTTAATTTGGAGCAGCACAGGGTTAAAAATCAGACACCGTGTCCCTAAGGTGCTATCATCTTATCGGCAGACAATGCACAGCTCCACAAGTCCAAGACAAGTGGCTCGGCGCTCCATCAGTGATCTCTCGATGCAGGGAACCTTCGCTGGGAAGTCAATGGGGATCCGGAGCCACAGCAGGGGCTTCAGTAACATGAGAGAAACACCCCCTTAGAGAAAGAGCCCTGGGTGCCAGATGTGGGGGTGTCCATATGTCACTGAGGTCGGACAGCACAGGCACATCTGTGCATTAATGGCTGGCACCAGCCACAGCACTCTGCTCTGATTTATCATTTTTATCCATATTTCTTTAAGCAATGCATAACAAAATAGGGGTGAAATACCACTGCTTCCCAGCACTTTCAATAAAAAATTACTGAATTTTGATTAATTGAACCCAATAATTATAGAATGATCACCTGACACCAGAGCCGGAGCGACAGAGACAGCTGGGTCCCTGAGCTCCAGCACACATTGCGGGGACCGGTCTGCTGTAATCGTGTGTTTTTGTTTCTCACAAAAGTGAAAATAAAGGACCATCCATCCATCCATCCATCATCTGCCGCTTGTCCGGGGTTCGGGTCGCGGGGG